CCTGGATTCCGATGTGGGTTTTTCCGTTTTCCGTTCTTGTGGCATAATGTCACTGATCACGCAAATACTTTTGTAGGGTTTTCTCGCAGTGTTTACCGGGAGAGGTTGTGGAGCGGCGAAGGATGTCAACTTTTTCCGACCTGCGTACGGCTTTCTTGTCTTCGAGACTTTTCGTCAATCTGACATCCATCTAGACGCGGAGGTGATACGGAGGTAGACGTTAATGACGTTGGGCATGCATTGGAGAGCGTCATTGAAGCGCGGAAGGCTGAGGGTACTTGGGAAGTTGATAGTTTTTCCGGTGTATCCGAGCTTATAAGGCCACCAGCCGAGGTATGGTTTCTTCTCAAGACAGCATAATAACTCTCGACGCTTATGATATGCCAGGCCGTCATAATCTGTCTTGACCTCAGTCAATCTATGAATAAGACATCAGGTGTCAGCAATCCCAATCCTGGTGTTGAAGATGATCATGATGAATTTAACGCCGAGATCGAAGCTGGGAAGGCGGTCAGTGAACTGTCTTCGAATGAGTCGAACGATGATATCTTGGCGAAGGGTATGGTCTCGTTTTCGTGGCTTAGTTCATCCACCTCAAAGAGAATATAGCTGAGAAGTATCTCGAGAAGCTTCACCCGGCGTGTCATCACGCTTGGAAGCTGCATATCGACGGTGAATGTCAAGGGTCGGATCTTCAGGCCGCTCGTCGGCTTCTCCAAGAGTTACAGAAAATATCTTCTAGGGATGTCCTCCGACTTAGTTCATCTCTTGAAGAGCATGACAACCGCTCCGACGCGGCCTCAGACAAGCTATCACAGGTACGTCACAAGCCCTTTCGAACTAAATCTCTGATCATCAACTTCGCGTTTTGTAGCTGGCATGTTTGTCACAGGCTGTCGCTCAAAATACTGAAGAGCTGGCGACTTTCTTGGTCACGTTGGTATCCAAACCCCAGGAAATGTATGGGAATGAACCATACCAAGTCCCAAGGAACTTACTTGACCCGAAGTGAAGCTCCATGTCGTGTTCGCCCGTCATAATCTGATCGTTGGTGTAGGTCCGGAAACTTGTTCTCAGATCCGGTTCATCCGACTGGAGGACCTGCCAGCTTCTTTGTTGATGAAGAATCACGAGCTTGGTTCGAATCGCAAGATTCATGGCCTGCAGGCTACTTTATGCCTGCCGTTGCTTCATCGTCCGAACAAATTACGGAGGCTGTTGATCGATGGGTGGATCACTTTTTTTGCTTTTATAACCAATGTTGATCGTCACCCTTTCAGGTCAGTGGTGTTGATATCCTTCCAGCGAGTCCATTCGCATCCTTAGGCTGGGGAACTCGCTTTGGAGTTGTGGACGTCGTATTCACTCATGAAGGCAAATCCCGAACCTGGAGCCTTTTGATCAACACACCCATTCGCAAGCTCTATATGCTTGTTCATCGAGCAACCCGTGCCAAGTATTCAATGTTTACTATACGCTTGGCTTCCAAGAAAACCATCATCAGTGATTCAACCACGACGACGATTGGTTTGACTGATCTGTCTCATGGTGGCGAGATTGAGATCTCAAGAATTCATCTGCACAAGAGGAAACTTATTGAATTCAAGGTTGAGTTCAAGGGGATTACCTCGTCAGATAGAATCCTGCTGTTACCGGCGGATGCTCCAGTTTTGGCTGCGATATCCTACTTGAATAGCGTCGCGGATCTTTCACGGTTGGAGCTATGGTTTGTGGATACGTCCTGTTCGATTTAGTTTACTGACTTGTTTCGCTAGGCATGGTTTAACGCCGATTGGGGATGGAGTTCGCCGAGGAGCTACTGTATACTGCACAACGAAGGTACCCTTGCCAGATATAGGCACTCGACAGAGGCGGTGCAGCTAGAATGTAGTCCTTGGTCCTACCGAATGTCGGGTGCGGTTGGGCGGAGGGAGGATAGCCGGCATTTATCAAGGTTGCATTTAATGTCTGAGTTGTTCAACGTGTTCATCAACCGTGCAGTATGTTTGACTTTTGTTATCACATCGAAGTCGTGTTGATCATGATTTTAGAGCTCGTTCGATACTTCTGTGGCCCTTGTTTTGGGGTTGGTTACGTGTAGGTCTCTTCACTGAATGTGATCCAAGGCTGTTCTAACACGAACTACTTTTCAGTCTCGAACACCGTTCAAGTTAAACAAGAGCTAACACCCATCTTCGAGAGCTTCCGAGCAGAGCTCCAAAAGGTTACCGCATCTGGGGACACAGCTGTATACGATGCTCTGGAAGTTGCTAAAAGTGTCCTCGTGAATTTCTGTCCTGACATACCGAACCTGCGGAGGCGAATCATCATCGTTTCAGATGGGGACGATACTTGTTCCAAGAGTGACGCTGCGACCGTTTGCGAGGCGTTACAGAAAAATAAGATTGTGGTTGATTCGGTTCAAGTGGGGACAGAACATGACGGTATTTTACATGCTATCTCGGTGGCAACGGGTGGCTATAGATTTGCTCCAAAGACCTCATTGGGGGACGCGTTGAGTATTTTCGTGCGTATCGCCCTCTGGGCTCTCTCGGCGTCGTCGATGGTGCATTGATGTATATCTTCCAGGACCTTGAAACCATGCTCAACTCGGCTGAGCGTCCCAAGATATCTGCTATGCCGGCTGTCTGGTCTATGCAGAGCCTAAGGAACTATGCATCTGTGTGGAGGTTCCCTGTTGATGTCGTTACCGTGGATAAGTTCCCTCAGAGGGCCGAACACCCGAAGTTGAGGGAACGTGTGTCCACCGCGTCAATGAGATTGACCCTGCCACTTACCGGGGACGAGAGGATTAAGAGGATTATGCGGGAGGTATGTTAGTTGATTTGGGTTTTCGTGAAGTTAGGTCGCTAATGTCCGTTACGATGCGAAGATCCGGGGATTTGTTTCAGATCCCCATCCGCAGATCGATGTTTATGTCAATGACCAGGATATTTCGTTCTTCAAGATCATTATGGAAGTTAGTCAATTACCTATCTTCTTCATCGGGCGGCGGTATTGATGATATTTTTAGGCTCCAAGCAACATCGATGGGTGCCCGTACAGGGGTGGCGCATTCCTGTTGACTTGTGATCTGCCAGCTGGATACCCAAGAGACCCTCCCGAATTCCCTTTTGTCACGTTTATCTTGCATCCTAATGTAAGGAAATGGTTTTCCTCCAGGCGTTAGAGTACTGACTCCGTGTTCGGGATTTTCCTCCAGATTTCGAAACAAGGAAAAGTACGGACCCCTTTTGCCAGGTCAATATTCGAACCCCACTCTTACTGTTGTTCAATAGGTCTGCGTAGCAGAACTTGGCCGTCTCTGGTCCTCGGATTTGACTCTCAAAGAAGTGCTAGCTCAGATCTACGGGTTGTTATTAGAACCCGACCTCGAGAACCCTTTGGAGATTCAGGCCTCGCTCAAGTATTGTGAGTCAATTCTTGGCTCTTCTTTTCATATAGGGCACGGATCTGATGCGGGCTCATAGACGATGATGATGGGACGTATGCTCTCGCAGCTGCTACTGCTGTGAGGGAACATGCATCGAAATCGCGTGCGCACTGGAAGCAAGAGTTGGCTCCTGGTTCTCTGTAAATTTTGTGAGTCCGGGATGTATATTAGTGGATTGAATGTGTACTTGCCTGTATCTTGCGTGCTTGAAAATTCAAAATCCTGAATAGAGGTTCGAGATATTGATGGAGGTGGTAGGATCCACGTGTAAGGGCCGCGGGTTCTATCGACTTTGATCTATTCCTTCGAACGTAACGCGCCGAGAGTAGACGATGAGATTGGAGCCTATATACTCCTCGCCGCAAGTCCTCTTGTAAACCTCTTGCCTCGTTCACAGTCAACATCCTATGAACTTGCCTAGAGGCCGTGCGCAGTCCCAGAAGCCCAACGTGTTGAACGGCTACCACTTCGCCCGCAGGGTTTGAGGGTTCGATACTCCAGCGAGCTCCTGTATAAAACGGCGTGAATACGAAGACCTTGGCTTGGACCCCATTCTGCTTGTCTAAACCCGTCCTTCGGCTGAATTGACCACGCTCTCAAGATCTCAAGTATGGATGCAACTACGAACGTTAGCCTGAGACGCATTTTAGTCGTGAGACAGGATGGTGATAGCGTCACAAAAGTTGCGGTAAGGCGTGCTTTCTCTGTGTCACATCTGGGAGGCGATAGCTGATTCGAGGATATCTAGGTTCACATACGAAGTGGCGCACTCATTTCAGATCTCGCAAGGGAAATCTATCGTCCAGCAGATTGGCGAAGTGTAGTTGTCCTGGGGGTAGGAGACGGATTTGAGCTGCGGGGGACTGAGTAAGCATTCCATCTTGTTGTGCATGCCACGTATTCATGACATCCCCAGTCCAGTGTCGGTTATCGCTGATGGAGA